AGCATATATGAATTTTGCAAAAAAACATAAACATTTAAACAGATCTCAAGTTTAAACAACAATAATAATTTAATGCATAAGTGAACCAATATACAACTAATAATTCATTCCACCATAAATCGTTTCTCTCAAGTTCTTGCGGAATCCCATACTTCCCAAAATTCTTGTAGAAACTATTTTTGATACAATGAACAATAACCCACCACTATATTCGTATCTCTGGTATGAAGTAAGACCTCGCATGGATACCATAAAATATATCATGGCCCATGTACAATCCACACAAATCCTTGCAAGGATATCCAACCTTTAGGAATGACGTATGCCAACACCATGACAGTGACGTATCCAACCAAAGAGTAGTATACTAACCCCTTTTTCCATGGTAACCCATAAGCGATAATGGTTTAGTCCTCGCAAGGCACTAACCCCATTACGAGTGGTAAAAAAAGTTCTAACCCAAACGGAGTAAGAAGACGTCTACACACTCCAAGATACCTGGTCAATAGTAGTCCATGTTTATCCAACAACCACACAAGAGATACAATTCCAATAATTTTCTCAAATAACACACAATTTCATAAATCCCAAATTTCACATGTAGTATTTCAATAGAGCACGTGAAAAAAATGCAAGAGATCATCATCAATATCATTTTAGTACTCAACTCAAAGCACTAAAGTTTTCTAAGTCAAGAACAAAGGAAGAATCAAGAAGAAAGTTCATCTCTTTTGAAAATTAGGGTTTTATATCAAGAAAATGAGATTTCATGGGTATTCAACCCTAACTTGTGTAAAACATGATAATAATTACAAGAAGACCAAGAAAAGATGATTTCATAGCAAATATATAAGATTTAAAGTCAGAGAATACATATATATTAGCCCTAGTATCAATGGACAAGAAAGGAAGAAAACCCCCTACCTTGGTGTTCTTGAAAGCAAACTAGAATTTTGATCCAATCCAATGTGCAAATCTCCTTTGATCTTATGTTTTTCCCTCTCTTTCTTTCTCTCTAAGGTTTCTTAGGGTTAAAAATGTTGAAATGAGGCTAATGGAGGCATCATTATGTATTTATAGGGTGAAAAGTAGACCCTAGATCGCGACTTAAAATTTTTGAAACTTACAGAGCATACAGGTACGCAGTACCGGTACTGTCTGTTCAGTTTTGCCTGTTTCCTTTGTTTTTCATTTTCAATCCATTCCAAACCTTTCCAAAACCAACTCAAACTTATACAACATACATTTGTATACCAAACATAGTTGGTATAAGTTCTATTACAAACGGTTTCATATATTTACAAGTCAAAACTAAGTTTAAACTAAATATTTACCCGATTCTACACTATTAACATTTTTATCTCTACTCTTACAATCTACTTAGTTCATGCATACTCCATTACTTAAATTAGTATTTCAAAAACATAATTACGTGCTATATAAAGATAAAGAGTGTGGGGGGTTTATAGATGGATTAGGGAATTAGGTTTAGCGGCAAATCATCATAGAGATTTGTATTGGGTTAGGTTTCCCCTAGAATGGAATAACAAGGACTTTATCACATAATTGCAAAAATTAAATCAACAGTTTATCCCCCACCCTTTTTTCCAACAAACCCCTAAAAAATAACAAAGATCGAATGGACTTTAAGTAGGTTGTCAATCGAGCTGGTCCTAATCGATTATGTTTTGTTTGATTTTTGAATTTTTTTAAAAATATCACATATTTTACTCCATTTTAGCGGGTCCGGACAGCCATTGAGACATAAACAAGTCTATCAGTCCTTGAGGGCCACAACATCACAATGGTGGACCTATTCATAGGACTTTGGACTAACCCACCACCAATGAGCTCATGCCAATGGTTTGTGGGTTTTGAAGAGCCCTGCTCTTTTATGTAATAAACAAAGTTTAGGGATGGATCAGGGACTTAGGTGTGGGGCATTTCGTAAGAGAGATTTTTGTGGGTAGGTTACCCCTTGAAGCAGAAAGATATTTAAGGNGTAGACCCTAGATCGCGACTTAAAATTTTTGAAACTTACAGAGCATACAGGTACGCAGTACCGGTACTGTCTGTTTAGTTTTGCCTATTTCCTTTGTTTTTCATTTTCAATCCATTCCAAACCTTTCCAAAACCAACTCAAACTTATACAACATACATTTGTATACCAAACATAGTTGGTATAAGTTCTATTACAAACGGTTTCATATATTTACAAGTCAAAACTAAGTTTAAACTAAATATTTACCCGATTCTACACTATTAACATTTTTATCTCTACTCTTACAATCTACTTAGTTCATGCATACTCCATTATTTAAATTAGTATTTCAAAAACATAATTACGTGCTATATAAAGATAAAGAGTGTGGGGGGTTTATAGATGGATTAGGGAATTAGGTTTAGCGGCAAATCATCATAGAGATTTGTATTGGGTTAGGTTTCCCCTAGAATGGAATAACAAGGACTTTATCACATAATTGCAAAAATTAAATCAACAGTTTATCCCCCACCCTTTTTTCCAACAAACCCCTAAAAAATAACAAAGATCGAATGGACTTTAAGTAGGTTGTCAATCGAGCTGGTCCTAATCGATTATGTTTTGTTTGATTTTTGAATTTTTTTAAAAATATCACATATTTTACTCCATTTTAGCGGGTCCGGACAGCCATTGAGACATAAACAAGTCTATCAGTCCTTGAGGGCCACAACATCACAATGGTGGACCTATTCATAGGACTTTGGACTAACCCACCACCAATGAGCTCATGCCAATGGTTTGTGGGTTTTGAAGAGCCCTGCTCTTTTATGTAATAAACAAAGTTTAGGGATGGATCAGGGACTTAGGTGTGGGGCATTTCGTAAGAGAGATTTTTGTGGGTAGGTTACCCCTTGAAGCAGAAAGATATTTAAGGTCATTGACTGATTATTGTTAGCACCGTTTGGGGAACAAATTCCAACAAGGAATATGATATCTGAGAATATGCGGATAAGCCATAAAATAAGGGCAAACCTTGAATAACGTCGACATAATTATTCAAAAACGTAATCGAATGAACCAACATATGAGCTCAGACACTTATGTGAGCTTACGTGTGCTAGCCTCCACGCATGGGCCAATATCCACCTTGTTCTATTTTCTTGAGGTGTTGGTTGTTGTGTGTGTGTTGGGGGGGGGGGGNTACTCCATTACTTAAATTAGTATTTCAAAAACATAATTACGTGCTATATAAAGATAAAGAGTGTGGGGGGTTTATAGATGGATTAGGGAATTAGGTTTAGCGGCAAATCATCATAGAGATTTGTATTGGGTTAGGTTTCCCCTAGAATGGAATAACAAGGACTTTATCACATAATTGCAAAAATTAAATCAACAGTTTATCCCCCACCCTTTTTTCCAACAAACCCCTAAAAAATAACAAAGATCGAATGGACTTTAAGTAGGTTGTCAATCGAGCTGGTCCTAATCGATTATGTTTTGTTTGATTTTTGAATTTTTTTTAAAATATCACATATTTTACTCCATTTTAGCGGGTCCGGACAGCCATTGAGACATAAACAAGTCTATCAGTCCTTGTGGGCCACAACATCACAATGGTGGACCTATTCATAGGACTTTGGACTAACCCACCACCAATGAGCTCATGCCAATGGTTTGTGGGTTTTGAAGAGCCCTGCTCTTTTATGTAATAAACAAAGTTTAGGGATGGATCAGGGACTTAGGTGTGGGGCATTTCGTAAGAGAGATTTTTGTGGGTAGGTTACCCCTTGAAGCAGAAAGATATTTAAGGTCATTGACTGATTATTGTTAGCACCGTTTGGGGAACAAATTCCAACAAGGAATATGATATCTGAGAATATGCGGATAAGCCATAAAATAAGGGCAAACCTTGAATAACGTCGACATAATTTTTCAAAAACGTAATCGAACGAACCAACATATGAGCTCAGACACTTATGTGAGCTTACGTGCGCTAGCCTCCACGCATATGCCAATATCCACCTTGTTCTATGTTCTTTATGACATGTTCAACTAATTCCTTATTTTAAGTAAGGTATCATTTTATTTTAAGTACGGTATCATTCAAGTTTTAATTCATATGAAATACCACTTTTTTTTTTGCACATGGATCTACCAAAGGAAATTCACGGGTAGAGTCAGAGTTAATAAGAGTAAAGTGAGTTTGAGTTCTGGTCGAGTTGAACTTATACGAACAAAATGAAAGAATCAAACCCATCACGCAGGACTTGAATATGAGTAGCTGCCCAAGGGGTCTAGATCCTCCCACTTTCATATCTTATTAATTATAATCAAAGTTTAACTCAATAATTGTTGACGCATCATTGATTGCAATAATTTTTAAAGGTGGATGATTAAATTGTCAAAATTGACAACATTTCCAATGGAGTGATTCTAAATCCATGTAAATATTGTGGATGGGTTGTTTTTGGATTGTGTTTGGGTTGTTTTTGGACCTTGAGGTGTTGGTTGTTGTGTGTGTGTGTTGGGGGAGGGGGGGGGGACTCTACTCATGCATGTGGGTAGAAGACTTACACTTAGGAAAAAAAGAGAGGAAGTCTCTCTTGATGTTTCAACTAAAGGAAAGTAAGNGAGAGAGAGATAACATTGACAACCAGAAATTGTAATTGAGGTCTTTTTGATGTCGTGTAACAGAGCGTGATGTTCAAGTAGGGCTACAAATGGATCATGTTGTGTATCCTATATAAATTGTATCACGTGAAACTAGCAGATCAATTATACAACGTATTAATAGCACAGTACTAGCACCCATGTCATATATGTCACGTTTCAACTTGTTTGTCTGCGTACAAATAGCCCAGAAGAAAATGGCACTCACACCTTAATTTGATGTAAATGGGAGCCGAGGCACATCCACGTCTAGTAAATGAGACATCAACATAATGCTACCTTGAGATTTACAGGAGATAGGCACCTGCCAACCCCATCTATAGTACTGCTATATGTCGATGAGGAGCGAAAAAACAAACTTACCTTAACCAGTCACGGTGAGAAATTAGCCACTAATTGTCCCACCCAAGACCTCTTCAGAAGTACATTTCCAAATGGGAGACTCTGAATTTCATGAGAATGTTAAAACCAATTCAGAAAAGTATAACAGTTTCAATAAGGGCAAGAATCCTGCCACTACGCGGTCAGAAAAATGTAAAACATGCACAGCCGGACTCCTTACAAGACATGATTGTAATTCCGCTACAGCATAATGAAACTAGTCAGGTAAGAGGAGCAAAAGGAGAAGAAAGAAAAGACTAAGTGGAGAAGGCAGCAAATATAAGAAACAGGTAGTATGTACACAATCAAATTGATGTAGGATTGAAATTCAACCTTTTCCTCTCTTTCTTTTCTTTGGAGCAGTAAATATCCATATGACAAGCACATCAATCAAATGTATGTTATTAACCAAGCCACTGTTCAGCACGACGCTGCCCACTACCTCCAACAGCATGCCGAATGCTGATCTTCTTATTCGCGTATTTTTGCTGGAGAAATTCAAAAGCATTCACATCAAGTTTCCCAGTTACAGATTTGCCTTGCTTCCTACGTGTTTGCTGTTCTCGTATAGAAGCCCAAAGTTTCTCAATGGCATCCCTTTGTTTAGAGGTGAACCTCGAAATGTTATCAAAGGCATGCTTCACTAAGATGTCGATTGCTGTTTGGCACCTGAAAAGAGAAGAGTCTGATACATCAAGAGAAAAAGAACATAGGACTATAATGTTCAAAATATGACAGACAGTGAAAAGAGGAAAACAAAAGAAGTTCATTATTAGTAGAATTGGATTTGACCATGGCGTTTTGTAACGCTTTGCAGCAATCTCTAAACAAAGGATCAAGACTTCTCTCTGTGATTTGAGAAATTTTTTGGTCTCATCCTCTTCTTCCTTCCTAATCTTTGCACCTGCTTCTTTCTTTCCCTTTGTTTTTTCATCTTTCTTCGATGTGCTTGGAATTAGAGCATCAAGCCCAAACGGATCAAACTCTTCCATCCTATCTCCTCCAAATGTAGCAACCAAATACGTGTCCTGTTTTGTCCGATTGTCTGCATCTACTGTGTCTGTTTCATCTTTCAGGGTAGCAGCTTCTTCAGTGTCATCATCTTTGGTTGCAACCGGGAGATTTGATATGGCTTCTTTTATCTTTCCAGAAGTTTTTGAAAACTAAATGGCGTCCCACCAAAGCAAAAGAATAGAAAAAAAAAAAATCATCAGCTAGGATGAAAGATCATACAGAATCAACTCAATACTGTACAATTGACTAGTCAGGAGACCTAAAAAATTAGAAGTAACAAATTCTTGGACCATGAACTACACAAAAATTTGCTGATAGAGAGTTAATAAGCATCATAAAGAGATTATTATTAGAAACATAACGACATAATTGAAAAACAGATATGTGCAGCACCTATGTTGTTGCAAGAATCACACGTGTTACTAGCAACAGCCTCAATGGACAGGTAAGATATTGCTAGCAGAAAATTAAACTTTCTATGATGGCAAGACGTATTTCAATAATCCTCCGGTCCACAAGAAGCCTAAGCCTTCTTTGTAACACTTGAACAAATGAGCATAAAAATTTGTATGCAGATAAAGTCCTCATTCCTGAAAGCACAGCAATCTCTAACCATAGTGTGCCAGTATTCAGTATGATATATTATGAGAATTAACATCTACAACATAGATTGAGTATATGCCATTTATCATTTTAAAAAAGGGAAAATGAAAAATATTGGCAGGTTATATGACAATTCAACTNTAGTGTGCCAGTATTCAGTATGATATATTATGAGAATTAACATCTACAACATAGATTGAGTATATGCCATGTATCATTTTAAAAAAGGGAAAATGAAAAATATTGGCAGGTTATATGACAATTCAACTTTATTTTAGATTTTATTCTCTTCCCATTTGAAGCAATCCATTTTAATCAAGATACACTAAGTCTCGTTTCCTAATTCTAGAGTCTGGCAACATAACCGAATAGGTTAATTTGTTGCACATGAACTAATTGACCAAAAAGAAAATCTTGGAATCAAGAACTTCTATCCTCTTTGTTCTCCAACCGGACAGTCTAAGAGATTCTAAAGATTCACCTTCCATGCCACCCCAATGAGGATCACATGGCATAGATGCCCTTTAGCTCAGGGAACTTCACCTCCTAATCAGCGTACAAAGCACAAACTGTGCAACAGGATGCCTCATGCTTTCATGATCATTCTGATTGGAATAAATTATGGACATCAAAACTTCATGACGACATAAGATAGTTCTTTGGAGGCTTTCAACTGAAAGCCTTCCAACAAAAGGTCAGTTGGCCACTATCTCGTATGATCCGGTTTGTGAAATGGGATCTGCACACAGAAAGATACTCACACCTCAGTACATATGACTGGATACATGGCCTATTTAATCCCACTCTAGGAAAAAAAAATCCCACATTAGCTTATTTACAGCAATCCTTATCTGGCGAAGTAAGGTTCATTTCAACAAGGGGAAGTTAATTCCACGGAATAAACTACATGAGATCACCCATAGTTTTCACGAATACAAAGCATTGGTAATTCATCCAAAGCTTCACCAGGCAAACCCTCAACAATCAAAATCTTGTGCATGCACCCATCCATCCTAAAGAGGGAGGTATCAAGATCAATGTGGATGCAGCAATAGAGAAATCAAGTTCATGTATAGCAATTATCATAAGGGATGATGGATCTGTCACAGAATACAAAATAGAACTCATTACTGAAAATGATCCACTTATAGCAGAAGCTCTGCCATCAAGACTAGCAACAATATGGGTGGATTGCAATAACTGAAATCATGTGATAATTGAGATTGACTCTCAGAATTGGTGCACACTGTCAAGCTGAATCATATCAAGACATATGGGACAATACTACCAATCATTCAAGACATCAAAACCTCACTCAAGCAGCACTCTGAATGGAGTATGAATCACACTTGCGGAAAACATGGCTGCACATGAACTAGCTAGATGGGAGTTTGATATACAGCTCAGTAGCACATTACAGGCTGGATAACTTCCCTGCTTGGTGCGAGAAGAGTCCTAAGGACTTTCTAATAAAAAAGAAGAGCAAGCCAATCTGCTTAGTTTTATAAACAGTGCATCCGGATTTTCTTGATTTTTCTCCGGTATCTCACTTTTCATCAGCAAAAGAAAATCCCAGAAATGCTAGCCATCAGATGTGCAGTGGGTTCACAATATATAAGGGGTGATATTCAGTTTTAGTTTTCAATAAATAACTTTCTAAATATCCATCGTTATCATAAAACCAAGCATTCAGTTTGTTTTGTGTGACTCCAATATTGAACCCTGGGAGTCATTAAAACATGCTCTAGCACATCCTCCAATATCTTGGTGAACAAGTTCAGGAAAGATCCCAACTCCACCTTTTCCCTTTCTCCGTTAAGCATTTTGATTAGTCAACATTGTTCCAAAAATCAGATTTTATCCAGCCAGTGGCACTTAAGGAAGTTCACATATATTCTGTTATGAATACAAAATCCCTTACCCTCGACATGTGTATCATGTGCAAAGCTAATAGTGAAAAGTGCATCACTTTCTCTTGCATTAAGGTTGTCTCTACTTGTTTGCTTCATCAAATGGTTAGAGGAATTAGGTTTCACCCAGATGTTTACACCTTTTGGGCCCTCTACCTTCCTGCTGGAGGATGGTGTGCAACTGCATGGTTCAACCTGTACAGAGCTGCGGACTACACTAGAGAAGAGCAATCTATAATATAAAATAGGGCGGCTTCATACGGTCTCAAATTCAATCATCCAACGGTCAAAAAATTAACATTTTATCCCTTAATATTCTCCCCCAATTCCATCACGTCCAATTTTTTCTCTCACCCTCACTCAATGTCAAAGACCTATCCTCCCCTTCACACCTTCTCTANAGAAGTAACAAATTCTTGGACCATGAACTACACAAAAATTTGCTGATAGAGAGTTAATAAGCATCATAAAGAGATTATTATTAGAAACATAACGACATAATTGAAAAACAGATATGTGCAGCACCTATGTTGTTGCAAGAATCACACGTGTTACTAGCAACAGCCTCAATGGACAGGTAAGATATTGCTAGCAGAAAATTAAACTTTCTATGATGGCAAGACGTATTTCAATAATCCTCCGGTCCACAAGAAGCCTAAGCCTTCTTTGTAACACTTGAACAAATGAGCATAAAAATTTGTATGCAGATAAAGTCCTCATTCCTGAAAGCACAGCAATCTCTAACCATAGTGTGCCAGTATTCAGTATGATATATTATGAGAATTAACATCTACAACATAGATTGAGTATATGCCATTTATCATTTTAAAAAAGGGAAAATGAAAAATATTGGCAGGTTATATGACAATTCAACTTTATTTTAGATTTTATTCTCTTCCCATTTGAAGCAATCCATTTTAATCAAGATACACTAAGTCTCGTTTCCTAATTCTAGAGTCTGGCAACATAACCGAATAGGTTAATTTGTTGCACATGAACTAATTGACCAAAAAGAAAATCTTGGAATCAAGAACTTCTATCCTCTTTGTTCTCCAACCGGACAGTCTAAGAGATTCTAAAGATTCACCTTCCATGCCACCCCAATGAGGATCACATGGCATAGATGCCCTTTAGCTCAGGGAACTTCACCTCCTAATCAGCGTACAAAGCACAAACTGTGCAACAGGATGCCTCATGCTTTCATGATCATTCTGATTGGAATAAATTATGGACATCAAAACTTCATGACGACATAAGATAGTTCTTTGGAGGCTATCAACTGAAAGCCTTCCAACAAAAGGTCAGTTGGCCACTATCTCGTATGATCCGGTTTGTGAAATGGGATCTGCACACAGAAAGATACTCACACCTCAGTACATATGACTGGATACATGGCCTATTTAATCCCACTCTAGGAAAAAAAAATCCCACATTAGCTTATTTACAGCAATCCTTATCTGGCGAAGTAAGGTTCATTTCAACAAGGGGAAGTTAATTCCACGGAATAAACTACATGAGATCACCCATAGTTTTCACGAATACAAAGCATTGGTAATTCATCCAAAGCTTCACCAGGCAAACCCTCAACAATCAAAATCTTGTGCATGCACCCATCCATCCTAAAGAGGGAGGTATCAAGATCAATGTGGATGCAGCAATAGAGAAATCAAGTTCATGTATAGCAATTATCATAAGGGATGATGGATCTGTCACAGAATACAAAATAGAACTCATTACTGAAAATGATCCACTTATAGCAGAAGCTCTGCCATCAAGACTAGCAACAATATGGGTGGATTGCAATAACTGAAATCATGTGATAATTGAGATTGACTCTCAGAATTGGTGCACACTGTCAAGCTGAATCATATCAAGACATATGGGACAATACTACCAATCATTCAAGACATCAAAACCTCACTCAAGCAGCACTCTGAATGGAGTATGAATCACACTTGCGGAAAACATGGCTGCACATGAACTAGCTAGATGGGAGTTTGATATACAGCTCAGTAGCACATTACAGGCTGGATAACTTCCCTGCTTGGTGCGAGAAGAGTCCTAAGGACTTTCTAATAAAAAAGAAGAGCAAGCCAATCTGCTTAGTTTTATAAACAGTGCATACGGATTTTCTTGATTTTTCTCCGGTATCTCACTTTTCATCAGCAAAAGAAAATCCCAGAAATGCTAGCCATCAGATGTGCAGTGGGTTCACAATATATAAGGGGTGATATTCAGTTTTAGTTTTCAATAAATAACTTTCTAAATATCCATCGTTATCATAAAACCAAGCATTCAGTTTGTTTTGTGTGACTCCAATATTGAACCCTGGGAGTCATTAAAACATGCTCTAGCACATCCTCCAATATCTTGGTGAACAAGTTCAGGAAAGATCCCAACTCCACCTTTTCCCTTTCTCCGTTAAGCATTTTGATTAGTCAACATTGTTCCAAAAATCAGATTTTATCCAGCCAGTGGCACTTAAGGAAGTTCACATATATTCTGTTATGAATACAAAATCCCTTACCCTCGACATGTGTATCATGTGCAAAGCTAATAGTGAAAAGTGCATCACTTTCTCTTGCATTAAGGTTGTCTCTACTTGTTTGCTTCATCAAATGGTTAGAGGAATTAGGTTTCACCCAGATGTTTACACCTTTTGGGCCCTCTACCTTCCTGCTGGAGGATGGTGTGCAACTGCATGGTTCAACCTGTACAGAGCTGCGGACTACACTAGAGAAGAGCAATCTATAATATAAAATAGGGCGGCTTCATACGGTCTCAAATTCAATCATCCAACGGTCAAAAAATTAACATTTTATCCCTTAATATTCTCCCCCAATTCCATCACATCCAATTTTTTCTCTCACCCTCACTCAATGTCAAAGACCTATCCTCCCCTTCACACCTTCTCTGTGTGTGTGTGTGTGTGTTAAATCTATAGCAACTCCGCCATCGCCCCAGCGACACCGCCACCCAACCGCCTCCCAGGTATCTCTCTCTCTCTCTCTCTCTCTCTCTCTCACTCTCTCTCTCACACACACACACACACATGGACAACCACCACCCCCACCTCTGCTTCACCCACATGTCACCAGCCTTCCATCCCCAACCCATAAATTCTGTCCACGCCGCCAGCGACGAAATCCATGTGATGGAAAAACAGCCCATTAAGGAGTCGGCGATGATTGCTCCAATGATTGAAAAGATTGTCATGGAGCCACTAAACACATTATAAATTTGAGCGGCCTTGATGCTCTTCAGTTGTATTCCTATGTCGACTGTCAGATATACAGTACACCCTTCTACTGCCAGGGCAAACCCCCAAAGGTTACTGCTTTTCACCAAAAAATAAAACACAAAAAGAAAGAAAGAAAGATCAAGGTTGTTAATGGCGTCACGACTCAACAAAATAGAAGAACGATATTGCTACAAATTGGCTGTTACCATAAAAAAATTTTGGAATTTTTTTTTGAATTTATGGTATTGCTACAAATTGGCTATTACCACAAAACAATGATATTTCTTGATTTTTTGAGCGATCAAAGTTGGTGATTAGCAAAAGAAAGTTGAATGATTGTTAGTCTATAACCTGTATTTCCAATCATGTTTTATAAGTCATGTAAATATATTCTTCTACACAACTGTAGCCACAAAAGGATGGGGATTTCTATTATTTTGGTGTCACGAATTGCTATGAAATATGAATATCTTAATTTCTAAAGGTGTAGGATTTTGGGTTCTTGACTTTTTGGTATAAGTAAATGGATAAAGCCATTATAAAATTGTTATTTCAAGTATATTGTGCGCTATGTTGTTTTACGTTTTTATGATTTGTGAAAGAGGTGATATCATTTGACTTCAAAGAGCTGTGCCTACATTTGCAAGGTGATTTCACTTGAGATGGTGACTCGTCGAAGATACATGGGCAAATATTCGATAATTTCATGTGATGATTGGTTTATGTGATTTATTGTTTTCTGCTAATAATTATGGGCATAGTTATCAAATCGTGTATCGGAATGTGTATCGTTTTTTAAAAATAGTGTATCATATCATATCGTGTATCGTAAGATACGGTACAATTTTAAATAAATAATAAAAAAATTTATATACTTTTGAAAAAAAATCATAAACTCATAAAAACATAGTATTTTATTAATACTCCACCAACTATTCAAGCCATCAATATAGTTCACTAATATAGAAATAGGATGATGGTGATGCCACTGCTTCAAAAAATTAACATTAATCAAGAATCAAGTTTCAGAAATTTTGATCCAAAAAAACAAAAAAAAAATATTTGACTTTATAAATAAATTAACAACATTTCTTACACTGCACAGGTTTCTCATTGCTTCGATGGCTTCTCAGATGGCTTCTCAGGCTTCCAGATCCAGAGGCAAAGATGGCTTCTCAGATGTCGTCAATGATTTTGCTACCTCGTCGATGAAGAACAGAGATAAGAGAATTAGTGGGCTTCGTTAAGAGGAACAGAGATCGTCGATGATGAACAAAGAGAAGACGGAGATTGGGCTCGTCATCTTGAAGCACAAAGGGCTCAGAGACAGTCATCGTCAATAACAGAGAGAAGAGAGAAAGGGGCTAGGGTTCCTTGCTTTGAAGAACAAAGAAGAGAGAGACTTGGGCTCTGTATTTTGTCGTCGTGAAGTGCACCCAGAAGACAGTGAGCGAGGAAGAATGGAGAGAGAAGAGATTTTATTTTTTTTTAAACCCTAGCCACTGAAACAAAGTCGTTTCAGTGGCTATTGGGAAGTAAAAAATAGCCTCTAATACAAAATGACGTCGTTCTAGCCACAAAAAAAAAAAAAAAANGTCAAAAAATTAACATTTTATCCCTTAATATTCTCCCCCAATTCCATCACATCCAATTTTTTCTCTCACCCTCACTCAATGTCAAAGACCTATCCTCCCCTTCACACCTTCTCTGTGTGTGTGTGTGTGTGTTAAATCTATAGCAACTCCGCCATCGCCCCAGCGACACCGCCACCCAACCGCCTCCCAGGTATCTCTCTCTCTCTCTCTCTCTCTCTCTCACTCTCTCTCTCAC